ATTGAAACATATTCCAAGTAATGTGTGTATTTTTCTAAGACATAACATAAAATCATTACATTTGTAAAGGGTAATAGCAAGCCAATATTGGAACAGTGTAGTTTTAAGGTTTCTTTTTTTTTAAATTTACCTTTATTGTTGAAAGTATTACAGATGTCCCCTTTTTACCTCATTGACCCCTTCCATCCCGCACCCACTCCCTGCCCCAGGCCTTCACCACACTATTGCCTGTGTCCATGGGTTATGCATATATGCATATAAATTCTTTGGTTAATCTCTCCCCACCCACTCCCACCTTCCCTCTGAGATCCCTTAGTNGAGAGTCATCAGTCTGATCCATGCTTCCATGTCACTGAATCTATTCTGTTCATCAGTTTATTATGTTCTTTAGATTCCACAAATAAGTGAGATTATGTGATATTTGTCTTTCTCTGACTGGCTTATTTTGCTTAGCATAATATTCTTCATGTCCCTCCATGCTGTCCCAAAGAGTACGAGATCCTTCTTCTTTACAGCTGCATAGTATTCCATGGTATGAATGTCCCACAGCTTTTTTATCCACTCACCTACTGATGGGCTTTTGGGCTGTTTCCAGATCTTAGCTATTGCAAACTGTGCTGCTGTGAACATAGGGGTGTATAAGTTCTTTCTGATTAGTGTTTCAGGATTCTTAGGATATATTCCTAGAAGTGGGATCACTGGGTCAAAAGGCAGCTCCATTTTTAATTTTTTGAGGAACCGCCATACTGTTTTCCATAGTGGCTGCAACCAGTCTGCATTCCCACCAGCAGTGTACTAGGGTGCCCCTCTCTCCACATCCTCACCAGCACTTGTTTTTGTTGATTTGTTGATGGCAGCCTTTCTGACAGGTGTGAGGTGATACCTCATTGTGGTTTTAATTTGCATCTCTCTGATGTTAGCGATGTTGAGCATTTTCTCATATGTCTCTTGGCCATCCGTATGTCCTCTTTGGAGAAGTGTCTATTCAGGTTCTTTGTCCATTTTTTAATTGGGTGGTTTGTCTTCCTCTTGTTGAGTAGTATAAGTTCTTTGTACACTTTGGAAATTAGCCCCTTATCAGATATGTCTTTGGCAAATATGTTCTCCCATACCATGAGGTTCCTTTGTATTTTGAGGATGTTTTCTTTTGCTGTGCAGAAGCTTTTCAGTTTGATGTAGTCCCATTTGTTTATTTTTTCCTTTGTTTCTCTTGCCCTAGGAGATATATCAGTGAAAATTCCACTATGTGAGATGTATGTGACTTTACTGCCTAGGTTTTCTTCCAGGATTTTTACGGTTTTGCAACTTACATTTAAATCTTTTATTCATTTTGAATTTATTCTTGTGTATGGAGTAAGTTGATGATCTAGTTTCATTTTTTTTGCATGTACCTGCCCAATTTTCCCAACACCATTTATTGAAGAGACTGTCTTTATTGTATGCTCTTGCCTCTGTCAAATATTAATTGACCATAATGGCATGGGTCTATTTTTGGGGTCTCTGTTCTTTTCCATTGACCTATATGTCTTGTTGTACCAATACCAGGCTGTTTGGATTACAGTGGCTTTGTAGTATAGTTTAATATCTGGTAAAGTGATTCCTCCACCTCTGTTCTTCTTTTTTAAGATTTCTGCAGCCTATTCGGGGTCTTTTTTGGTTCCATATAAATGTTTGGAATATTTGTTCTAGCTCTTTGAAATATGCTGTGGTATTTTAATAGGAATGCATTGAATCTATAGATTGCTTTGGGTAGTATGGGCATTTTAATGATATTAATTCTTCCAATCCATGAACATTGTATATTCTTCCACTTGTTTATATCTTCTTCTATTTCTTTTTTCAGTGTCCTGTAGTTTTCTGAGTGCAGATCTTTTACATCCTTGATTGAGTTTATTCCTAGGTATCTTATTTTTTTAGTTGCAATGGTAAATGGTATTTTTGTTTTGTTTTGTTTCTCTTTCTGAGAGTTCATTGTTGGTATATAAAAATGCTGTCGATTTTTGGATGTTAATTTTGTGTCCAGCTACCTTGCCGAATTCATTTGTCAAATCTAGTAGTACTTTGGTGGAGTCTTTAGGGTTTTTTATGTACAATATCATGTCATCTGCGAATAATGACAATTTTATTTCCTCCTTTTCAATTTGGATACCTTTTATGTTTTCTTCCTGTCTGATGGCTATGGCAAGGACTTCCAGTACTATGTTGAATAAAAGTGGTGAAAGTGGACAGCCTTGTCTTGTTTCTGTTTTTAAGGGAAATGGTTTTAGTTTTTGATCATTGAATATGATGTTGGCTGTAGGTTTGTCATATATGGCCTTTATTATGTTGAGGCATATTCCTCCTATTCCCACTTTGCTGAGAGTTTTTATCAAAAATGGATGCTGGATTTTGTCATTTTGTTTATATGATGTATCATATTTATTGATTTGTGAATATTATACCAGCCTTGCATCCCCAGAATAAATCCCACTTGGTCATGGTGTATGATCTTTTTAATGTATTGCTGGATCCTGTTTGCTAATATTTTGTTGAGGATTTTAACATCTATGTTCTTCTGGGATATTGGCCTATAACTTTCTTTCTTTGTAGTGTCTTTATCTGGTTTTGGGATTCAAATAATGTTGGCCTCGTGAAAAGAGCTTGGGAATCTTCCCTCCCCTTGAATTTTCTGGAACAATTTGAGGAGAAAATGTGTTAATTCTTCTTTGAATGTTTGTTAAAACTCACCTGTAAATCCATCTGGTCCAGGACTTTTGTTTGCTGGGAGTGTTTTGATTACTGCTTCAATTTCATTAGTTGTTATCGGCCTATTCAGGTTTTCTGCCTCTTCTTGATTTAGCTTTGGAAGATTGTATGCTTCTAGGAATTTGTCCATTTCACCCAGGTTGTCCAGTTTGTTGGCATTTAGTTGTTCATAGTATTTTCTTACAATCCTTTGTATTTCTCTTGGGTCAGTTGTTATATCACTTCTTTCATTTCTGGTTTAATTTATTTGGGTCCTCTCTCTTTGTTTTCTGGTATGGCTAAAGGTGCATCAAATTTATTTATCTTTTTAAAGAACCAGCTCTTGGTTTCATTGATTTTTGGTATTGTTTTTTCAGATTCTATGTCATTAATTTCTGCTCTGATCTTGATTATTTCCTTCCTTCTATTTCCTTGGGGATTTTCTTGCTCTTCTCTTTCTAATTCTTTTAGTTATTGTGTTAGATGGTTTATAGAGCTTTTTCTTGTTTCTTAAGGTATGCCTGTAATGCCATGAACTTTCCTCTCAGGACTGCTTTTGCTGTGTCCCATAGATTTTGGGTTGTTGTCTGTTCATTTTTGTTTTTTTCCAGGAAGTTTTTGATTTCTTCCTTGATCTCATTGGTAACCCATTCATTGTTTAATAACATGCTATGTAGCCTCCATGTGTTTGAATATTTTTGAGTTTTTTTATAGTGGTTGATTTCTAGTTTCATGCCATTGTTATCTGGGAAGATGTTTGATATGATTTCAGTCTTCTTGAACTTGTAGAGACTTGCTTTATGGTCTAACATGTGGTCTGTTTTTGGGAATTTCCCATGTGCACTTGAGAAGAATGTATATTCTGCTGCTTTGGGATGAAACGTTCTGTAATATCAATTAAATCCATCTGATCTAATATGTCATTTAAGGTCTCCGTTTCCTTGTTGATCTTTTGTCTGGATGATCTATCCAGTGGTGACAGTGGGGTGTTAAAGTCCCCCAGTGTGATTGTGTTGCTGTCGATCTCACCCTTAAAGTACACCTTTATACACACACACACACACACACACACACACACACACACGCATATTTAGGTGCTCCTATACTGGGAGCATATATATTTATAAGGGTTATTTCCTCCTGTTGGATCGATCCCTTTAGTATTATGTAGTAACCTTCTTTATCTCTTGTTATGGTCTTTATTTTGAAGTCTATTTTGTCAGAAATAAGTACTGCTACTCCAGCTTTTTTTTTTTTTTTCATTTCCATTTGCATGGAATATTTTTTTTCACCCCTTCACTTTCAGCCTTTGTGAATCCTTTGTTCTGAGGTGGGTCTCTTGTAGACAGCATATATATGGGTCACGTTTTCTTTTCCACTCAGCTACCCTATGCCCTTTGATTGGAGCATTTAATCTGTTTACATTTAAAGTTATTATTGATATGTACTTGCTTAATGCCATTTTTCCCCTTTATGTCGATGTGCCTTACTCTCTATATTTCTTCTGCTTCTTAAAGCAGTCCTTCTCGCATTTCTTGCAATGCTGGTTTGATGGTACTGAACTCCTTTAGCTTTCTTTTGTCTGGGAAGCTCTTTATTTCACCTTCAATTTTAAATGATAGCCTTGTGGGATAGAGCAGTCTTGATTTTGGGTTCTTGCTGTTCATTACTTTGAGAACTTCATGCCATTCCCTTCTGGCCTGAAGTGTTTGTGTTTATTACCTGATAATCCAGGCATTTTCCATATTGCTCGATGCCGTCATGATCATGGAAAAGCAACATAATATTCCCTTAAGTAGGTCTACCTTAATTAACTTAATCATTTTTCTATTATTGGATCTTTTGGTTCTTTCTTTTTACATTTTTTTCTACTGTTAAAAAAGAATAGTGTGTGCTAAACATTTTGTGGGTATTTAACTTTTCTCATGTCTTATCTTATTTCCTAAAGATAGATTGTGTGAAGTGGGATTACCAGTTCAAAGGACATAAACATTTTTATGACTCTTGATACCTGTTGCCAAATTGCTTTTCAAAACGGCTGCATTTATTTCTACTGCCTCCAGCAGATTACAAGAGGAATGTTTTCACTGCATTCTTGCCAGCAGTAGACATTTAGATTTTTAAACATTTTCCTAACCCATTAGGTAAAAAATAGGTGTCATTTTGTTTTAATTTGGATTTCTTTGGTTAGTAGTGAGGCTGAATGCTTTCATGTGTGCTTGTTTTTTAGCTGTATGTTCTGCGCTGCTTCACACATTGTTGTTTCTTCATTTTAGACCCCAAAACAGCTTCCGAAACAGAAACAGATATCTGCGCGGAGTGGGAGATCAAGACCATCACCAGTGCTCTGAAGACCTACCTGAGGTAGGGACTTTCCATGAGCAGGGCAGAGCGCCAGCTTGTTATCAGGCCATCAGGAAGAAAGCACTTTTATTTTCAGCCTCCAGAGAGCTGTTGGGTGGGTGTCTGAGATGTGGAAATAGCTTATGTGTGGGTGCAGTTAGCTCAGCTGGTCAATCCAATTGTAAATCATCCATAGTTGATGGGTTGCCATTGTGCAGTAGTGCCAGGGGTGATTTAGGAAGCTTTGTTTTTTATGAGAAGCTACTCTAACAGCCTTTAACAGAACCTAAAATCCCTGAAATCCCTGGATACTCTATTAAGAAAATAAGAATCTCATCTCATTCTTTTGCAAATACAAGATTCCGTACCCTGTGTATTTCCACAGACTTGTGCATTGCAGATTGAATATGTTCCTGACATTGATCCTTAAAAATGAGAACTTAATGGAACTCCTTGTTCACTCCTTCAGCTTAGATTGGAAAATATCACTTTATTGGGGAAGAGACTATTTTCCTGTAGTAATATATGAAGTATTACTGCTACCTCTCTACTCCTCCCTCGTTTATTAAGGGAATGGGTGATTGACTAGCTGCCCGCGTCTCAGTTTCAGGAATAGATTGAAGTTTATGCTGGACTTGAAGGGCAGGCATATTGTAGTTCTTACACAGGAAGGTGGGGTGTCTAGTCCTAAACAAGGACTGTCGTCATAGATTGCATAAGCATTTGTACAGCTGTCGTGAAGATCCCCTTGGCTCAGACTCAAAGGAGGAAAGCCACAGAAAAGGAATTGGGGGTGCCGGGTTTTGTTGTTTTTTTTGCTTTTGGGGAATTGATGGAAGGATCTTGAAGTCAAGGATAAGATGTAATGCAAATGATGACTACAGATTGAATTAGGCGATTCGATGAGAATAAAATAAAACCTGAGCCAATGTATAGTCTGTTGAGAAGCTTATTATTTGGACTAGCAGCAAAACCTCAAGTTTACAGTTTAACATATTCATTACATACTCATATCCCCAGTGCTGCCACTGTAGTTTACACAAAACCATATTGTAGAGGTTTGCATTTAGCACTTCTTTTTACATGTTGGTAGTGATTTGCTAATAAGCAGTAAGTAAAAAACATATTTTCAGAAATTAGCAGGCAAAATTCGATTGCTTCATGTCTCGTGTTAGGGGTTCTAGCCCTTTGGCATTCCTGAGCAGAACTCCACAGTGAATTTGCCACACAAACACCTACAAAAAGTCTCTGTGGCATTTATGGATGAATTGATTATAATAACAAGGTGCTGGGAAGATGAGAGTTAAATACAGATTTTTGCAGATGTTTAGCTAGTTGCCTGTTTCTCAGGCATATTTTAAAATGCTCTTGTTGATGGATGAGTCACTGACTGAAAGGAAATCTCTTCGTTTGTGCTAGACTTTTGCATCAGTACTTTTGAAGTTGTGACTACGAAACAGTTGTATCCATTCCCTTAAAAAGGAGAGAGAATGAAAATCTCAGGGAAAATCTCAGAGCCTTGCAAAAGGGAAACTCTAAATTGGACTAAGCTGAGTTGCTCTTGTTTCCCTGTGATCTTTGTCTTGAGAGATGTAATACAGTTTGGCAGCCTCCAGACTGCTAGTTAGAGAGAATATGACTGTTTTGATGAAGCTAACTAGTACATAACCTTTTATTCCAGAATGCTTCCAGGACCACTCATGATGTACCAGTTTCAAAGAAGTTTCATCAAGGCAGCAAGTAAGTTTTCTTTTTGTCACAGTTTTAAGGGGAAGGGAATAGATTTTTCTATTTCAAAGAACAGTCAATATCCCAAAATAAATATTATCTAACCCAGGCACACACTCAGGAGTTCAACCCAGAATTGAAAACGAAACCAAGTCGGGATTGCCGAGGGCCTCGCTACTGGGCTGAGTGTACAGCAGAGGAGAGAAACTTCCCAAGAGTGGTTTTGGGGTGGGGAGAGGAGAGAAGAGGGGGTTTACCCTTCTAATTATGATTATTGGAGTTCTGACTCCTTGGGTTTTCCCTAGCCCTTGAGCAGCATTTTGCAGAATGAATCAAACTTTGCACGTTACCTAAATAGAGCTTTGGGAGTGTTTCCCTGAGAGCAGCACCATCCGTGTAACTTCCCAGTCCGCGTTCTGTCCTGACCTCCACTTCAGCCTCTGGTCATTCTTCAGCCGTATCATCCAGGTCCCTGGCGTCATATAACTGGTATTAAAATACATAGGGATTAGGTGCAAGCTACCCGAAGTGTACTGGAATCTGTCTACGTGGGGCAGGCCTCCTGTGGGGCAGTAAGATTCTCTATCAGATTGAAATCTGGCATGAAACCCCAAGGCTATTATGCCCATAGCCTGTGCCTCTCCCCTCTTCCTTTGAGCCTTCAGAGTTTGTTTACCATGGTAGCTGCTACTGGCCTAATTTAGTAGCAACTAGTGTTCTGGTGGCCTTAGCTACTCATAGTTTCCCCCTTCAGACAGGGAGGAGAAAGGCATGGGAGAAAGCTAGGAGTGAAGATAGTGTTTATGTGATTTTTTTCTCAGAGAAATTCCAAACCCATAGCAACCATTCTCTAATTAAACCTCACATCAGTCCTATAAATAGGTTCAGTGAGTACCATTCTTCTGCTTCCCAGAGAACTGGAGCCACTTGCCCAAGTTCAACCAAGAGAATACGGCAGGCCATGATTTAGGTTACAGGTTGACAGCAAGATTCACACGCATACGTGCCATTTCTTTCTTGTGTACCACGCTGGCTGTCACATGTGGTTTGAGAATAACTGGACATTTCCTTTGGTTTCTCTGATGCTGTGTTAGGTGCTATTTTGATATTTGAGACCCTTGCAATGTTGTTCATGTGCAATGTGTTTACCACTTACCAAGCGCATGAAGTTCCTTCTTTCCTTGAAACGAAGCTGTCCCTCCAGGGAGTCAGCTGCTCCCAGCTTGTCCCTGCTCCAAGTGTGCAGCTGACTGGCTCCATTTTATCACGTCAGCGTTTTGGCCTGATTTTTCTGACGGCCATTTTTTTCAGTGAACTCTGGTACAGAAAACACCATTAAAAGCACTTGTAGATCCTCATCATGAGGACACAGAGCAGGATCTTAACCCTTTGAGAGATCCTCAGTGTGTCAGTGCCCAACCTTTGTCTTCCTTTGATTTCTGTCTTGCAAACTGATTTAGCTGTGACACTGATCAAGTGTTACCTCCCTCCTACTTTTGCAGAGCTGGAGAATCAGGAGTCTCGGGTCTCTGAAATCCACAGCCTTGTTCATCGGCTTCCGGAGAAAAACAGGCAGATGTTACAGCTGCTCATGAACCATTTGGCAAAGTAGGTTTATGACTGATTGCTGGCTCTTTTCTCACCCCTAGAAAGTTCTTATCTTAGCACTAAAGCTGGTCTCAGTTCTGCTTATGTTTGCCTCCCCCACTATTGCATCAGGTATGCTAGACGCTTAGGAAAGAAATGTGTGAAATGTTAACTGCAGTGGATAACAACAGCCAGTGCCAGATGGTCTTTGAAAGTGGGCCAGGAAGTGTCCCATGAACCAGGCCACCAGACAGAGTTTTCAGGGCAGGGCTTTGCTCTTGTGAGGACCAAGGACAAACAAGTATGTCATCCATGATACCAGGTCACCAAGCAGAATTTTTAGGAGTTACATGTTCTTGTGCCGATCACGGGCGAACAGGAATATGTTGTGGGTTTACAGACCTTAGGTTTGAAGTAAAAAGGCTTAGATTCTAGAGTTGACTCTGTTCTTTTGTCGGGGGGGAGACATGTTTTGTTTTGTTTTGTTTGTTTTCTATTTCAGGAAGAGGGAGCAAGAGATAGAAACATCAATGATGAGAGACGGTCATTGATTGGCCGCCTCCTGCCCACCCCTTACTGGGGACTAAACCCGAGCCCGCAACCTGGGTGTGTGCCCTGATGGGGTATCGCACCATGACCTCCTGGTTCATAGGCGACGCTCAACCACTGAGCCTCACCATCGGGGCAAGAGTTGACTCTGTTCTTAACAAGCCACTTAACCAGCCCTGGACAACCAGTGACTTCTTAATTCCTAATTTCTTCATTTGTCAAATATGGCTAGTAGGCTCCCTTTTATCTACAGTGTCAGTGATTTTTAAAGTGACACGTAGCCCAGCCGGGTGTGGCTCAGCAGTTGAGCGTCGACCTAGGACCCGGGAGATCGGGGTTCGATTCCCTGTTGGGACACATGCCCGGGTTGCGGGCTGCAGCCGATCAATGACTCTCTCATCATTGATGTTTCTATCTCTCTCTCCCCCTCTCCCTTTCTCTCTGAAATCAATAAAGATATATTTACCAAAAAATAAAAATAAAAATGAATTCACATGTATTAAAGCCTTTGAAGAAGTATAGAGAATAAGGGAATTATCTTTGGCAAATGCCCACTTGCCCTTTGAGATAATCAAAGCATTCAGTGGGGGCTTGATTTTCCGGCTAGGAATATTTATACTCTTGGAATGGTTTTGGATTTCCGTGTGTTGACTGTTGCTTGATCTTTTTCAGAATGGCCTTGTTGCCTTTCCTTGTTGTATCAGTTACTGCATGTGTGTATGTTCTAACCTTCCATTGATTTTTATGAGTGTTCTTGACTGGAGACTGGAGCATAAGACAAGACAGAGTCTACCAGTTAACCTAAATTGTTAAGTCCTGTGTTCTTTGAACTGATGTGTTGTAAATTTGGCCCTTTCCCACAATTGTTCATGACCTTAAGTCATGTTTTTGGTATAAGTTGATACTTTGCTGAGGGAGATTATGATGGTTTGTTTTCATATTTATACCAAGCACTTGATAATCCCTTTTGGAGAGAGAGTATATATGTTACCATAAAGACTCCCACAGGTCTAAGCTTGAAGAAACAAGAAATGATTTGCATGTGGTGAGAAGCAATTGGGTAGTCAAAGGTTGCTCTATTATTGGTCAAATGTTTTCCTTGCCATGCAGTATCAGAACTGTATTGCAATACTATGGTTTATAAGAAATATGTATTTGGCCATTAAGGTGACCAAAATGTATTTCTGATATATATTTGGTCTTAATCCACAGTTCCTGGCTCACATCTCCCCAACCTTGGAATTTCCTAAGTATTGACATTGAAAAGGTGTCTTTTGTTATGTTAATGACGTGACTTTTGGAAAGCGCCTAAGGAAGGGGCTGGTTGCCAATGGAACCAACCATGTGATTAGAGGGATGGAAGTTTCAGTCCTGCATCCCCCACCCCACTCACAACCTGTGGGGAGGGGAGAGAGGCTGGAAGTTGAATCAGTTGCCAATGGCCAATGCTGTGACTGTGTAAAGAAAACTCCATAAAATCCCAAGAGGATGGTTTCAGAGAGCTTCGGGGTTGGTGAACACATGGAGACGCTGGGGGCGTGGTGCCCTGAAGAGGGCTTGGAAGCTCTGCACTCCTTCCCACATACCTTGCCCTCTGCATCTCTTCCACCTGGCTGTTCCTGAATTCTGTCCTTTTAAAATAAACCAGTGATCTAGTAAGTAGCATGTTTCTCTGAGTGCTGTGAGCCTTTCTAGAAAATTAGTAGAACCCAAGGAGGGTATTGTGGGAACTTCTGATATATAGCCAGTGGGTCAAAAGTAGAGGTGACAACCTGGATTTGGGATTGGCATTCTGAGTTGAAAGGGGTTGTTGGAACCTCCAATCAGTGCCCAGTTCAAGAGCACAGGTAGCCCGGCCGGGCATTGCTCAGAGCCTGAACATTGACCTAGGATCCAGGAGATTGCAGTTCAATTCCCGGTCAGGGCACATACTCTGGTTGTGGGCTCGATCCCCAGTTGGGGCGTCGTGCAGGAGGCAGCCTATCAGTGCTGACTCTCTCATCATTGATGTTTTAGTCCTCTTTCTCCCTCTCCCGTACTCTCTGTCTGAAATCAATAAAGATCTATTTTAAAAAAAAGAAAAGAAAAAGCACAGGTAACCTGGGCTTGTGCCCTGGGGTTGCATCTGGCATCTGAAGAGTGTGTGTGTGTGTGTGTGTGTGTGTGTGTGTGTGTGTGTGTGTGTGTGTGTGTTGGGGTGGGGGGCAGTCTTGTGGAATCTGATGCTATCTGCATGTAAACAGTGTCAGAATTGAGTTGAATTCTTGGATACCTTGCTAGTATCCTGAGATATGTTTGTTGGTGTGGGGTCCCTGACTCCCACGGTGAAATTGGGGCAANGCTAGTATCCTGAGAATTGTTTGTTGGTGTGGGGTCCCTGACCCCCACGGTGAAATTGGGGCAGTTTATTTATGTTCAAAAACAGAGCAAAGCAGAGAATATGCAAGTTTGCAAGGAGAGTGGCCCCAAAAGAATCCTGATGATCCGTGTTTAAAATAATGGGAACTGGGCTTTAAAAAGTAACTTCAGATGCTCCGAGGTGCCTGTTCCATACAATCCAGGCCAGGCATTTGTTAAACAGATAAGCTGGTTTAGATCTTAGTTGCAAACCTTTGTGCACTTGAAGGGCCTGCACCAAAACAGGAAGTTCCAGGTACATACTCAGCCAACCCTGTGTGGGGATGCTCCTAACTACTCTATGGTCACTGGGTCTTAGGAAGGTCTCCAAGCCTGCTGGCAGGAGCTGGAGGAGACAATTTAGGAACCAGCTGAAAGCATTTGTGATGAGATCTTAGTTGAACTGAGAGAGACCAAGAGTAAATGGTGATCCAGTAGAGCCATTACTGAATTTTTCCATTTTTAAAATACCCTGAGGATTGTTAGGAATCTTTAAAGAAAAAAACAACAGAAAACTCTAAGGTGTATTTTGAACAGTTGAGCTGCCCAGGTGGATGGTTCACGTTCTCCCTCCCGTTCCACTCTCTGCTCTCCCAACCCCTTTCAATTCAGCCCATCCTTTTCTCCAACCCAAGGAGTCCTACAACTGGCATATGCAAGTTACAACTGTGACCTTGACTTTTGGCCTTCCAATTTTGTTGCTGGCGTTATTAGTTTTATAGCATTTCTGGAGCATTACACATTGTCTTTGATACTTAATGTAGATTTTCTTTGAGGTTCTATGAGATACTATGGCATTTCTTTGTTCATTTAACCATTAGGAAATCTACCAGTAGTCAAGCTCTCCTGCCTGTAACATGAGTCTGTCAGAGCTGGTGTTAGAACACACAGACTCAAGTTCTCAGCATGCTGTGTGCTCGGTCTTTGGAGCCTCTAGATCTAGACTGTCTTGGAGAAGATGGGTACAAATGAGCACTGCTGAATCTGGTAAGGAGTATGCATTTAGGTCTTTGGCACCCAGTGGAGTTCTAAGATTCCACTTAAACCCTATATGCTCATTTACAGCACTGTCCTGTTTTAAAATAAAGCAGTCAGGGGAAGTTAGCTTGGGCCAAGGGGTTGGTTTGTCTATTTCATTCCAGTTTTCTCAGGTTCAGACTCACCCTAGGATATGCCTGAGCTATTGTTACTCTGGTCCACTTACTTAACGGTCAGCTTCCTTCCTAAGTTTTGATTTCAGGGCTGGTTCTGCTGGAAAATCCAGTGTTTACTTCTCTCATTACCTGCTGTGCTTGCCCTGCGCATCACAGGCGACTGGTTCAAAGAGAAGACATTTTGTATTGTGTATTTTTCTAAAGTACTGTTTTGAAACACTTTCCAAAATTGGTTTCCTTTAGCTGTGGAGGGAGAATGAAGACATTTTAGATTTAATCCCAAGTAGGAATGCATTCGGGGGGGGGGGAACAGTCTTAAGGGGGAAGGCATAGAAACTTCAAACCTCCAAGCAAATATGATTACCATGGCACATCCAAATCACGGAGCTCTTGGGTTGGTTTCAGACCTCAGAGAGAACATGAAAATTATAGGCAACTATGCACATATTTTTGTTGTTCCAGCTCAGATCTACTCTGATAATTAGATATTTTCTATTTGGACTCTAGTATGCAGTCTGGGGTCATGTGCCTCAAAGCACAGACTCACCTGGGGTGCTAGTTCACACTGGCATTGCTGGGCTCCACCCCTGGTCGGCTAAATCAGACTCTGCCTGGGAATCTCCATTGTTGGTTTATTTCCCAGGTCATTAGGATGCAGTCTTTTGAGAACCACAGACCTAGTTGTGCAGGGGTTTTCCGGGAGAGAGAAATGGTATTGAGAGGAATAGATTGGGATTTAGGAGGTTTAGAGCTAGGAAGTGGAGGCTCAAAGCAGTGAGTTCAAAAAGGAGACTTTCTTTTCATAATTAAATTACTAAAAGCATCCAGTTTTGATTTCCCATGTCTTTACAATTGGACTTTGCATTAAATTGAGTGTTCAGCAAATGACTCTGTTTTGAAATCAAACATAAAGCATTTTTA